TTTTGAAAACTGTAGTTTCATACAGCTTGTGTTTTTATTTTTGTTGTTTTAGTTGTTTCAGGCAGACGAATAAAATCTGGTCCTTGTTATTCTCTCAGCCAGAAGCATAGTTGCCTTCAGGTTTTAATTTACTTTGAAAATCTTTTGCTATCAGGATAATAAAGTTGAAAAACACTTTTATTTTCCAACTCAGTCTGCTGCTCTGGCCCCTTTATGTTCTTCTTAATTCTGCTTGCAAACTAAATAGCTTTTACTTTAGCTTATCTCTCTTTTCTAGTCCTCTACTATATACCACAAGGACCAGCCAGCTGTTAATTTCAACATTTTGCATGGAGATCTCCTTATCAATCAAAAGTTCTTTTAAGAGTGTTTTCCATCTTCCATGGTAACATAGACTACAGTTTTGGAAATTGTTGTGTGTGTGTGTGTGTGTGTGTGTGAGTGTGTGCGTGCGCACGCACTCCATTATAGTAGTTTCCTAACTAATTTACCAACCTTTGTTTTAATGCCTTGTTTCAAAGCCAATGACACACATTTCAGTTTTTTATTAGGACAGAGCCCCATTTGTAGATATCAATTTCCTTATCATTTAGTTCTTGATACATTATAAGCTGCCCCTAAATTTTCATGTCTTAAAACAATAATCGCTTTTCTGGACATAACTTTGTACATTAGCAATCTGGGCTAGGTTCGGCTGAGCAGTTCTGGCCTGGATCAGGCTCAGGTAAACTCAGTTGTACTCACTCATGCATCTCCAGCTAGCTGGTGGGTCAGCTCAGTCTGGTTACTTAAAGGAGAATTCAGTCAGGATGATTGAGCCTTGCTCCAGAAGCCCGTTTAGTTGGAAATGGTTCTGAAGTATTAAAACCTGTGTTTTCCTCATTGGGTTAATTAATCAATTTATACTGAACATAATTTTTGTTATGTTCATGTTTAAATCTACAATATTACTATTGACTTCTTAAAATTATTATTCCATTTCTCCTTCCATAAATTAGAAATCATATACTATTGAGCTATATCCACAGTCCTTTTTGAGACAAGAGTCTCACTAAGTTGCAAAGAATGAACTTGAACTTGTGATCCTCCTGCCTTAGCTTCCCAAGTCGCTGGAATTACAAGTGTGTGCCACCCACCGCACCCAGCATTATAACATGTATTCTTTTTTTCTGGTCACCGGGGATTGAACTCAGGGGCACTCAACCACTGAGCTACATCCCCAGTCCGATTTTGAATTTTATTTAGAGACAGGGTCTCACTGAGTTGCTTAACGCCTCATAGTTGCTGAGGCTGGTCTTTGAACTCAGGATCCTCCTGCCTCAGCCTTCTGAGTCGCTGGGATTACAGGCATGTGCCACTGTGCCTGGCTTAACATGTATTCTTTATTTATCAAATCTAATATTAATTGTTGCTTTCACTCTGTTTCTGGATAGTGAACTGATTTTAGAGCACTTTAATTCCTTTTTTTTTTTGTCTTGAACTTAAATACTATTGTTATCATTTAGTCACTGTATATTTTAGCTCCTATATGAGGTTATTATTCATACATTTACCACTTTGATGCACTTCATTCCTTCAAGCACTTCTGGGTTTCCAAATAGGGTCAGATTAGCATACCCAAATAGAGGTGGTGGGTGAAGGTCCCAAGAAGGATCAGAAATGCCTTGCAAGGTAGCTACCTCAGGTGAGGCCATTACGGGTCCTTCAGGCAAAGGGGAAGAGCAATTCCTCAGGCAGAGGTAGAAGGGCTGCTTCTCCTGGAAAATAAAATGTACATTAGAACCTGCCCATAGGATCTCTTCAAAATCTTTGGGATGCCATTCCTTCCCAATGAATGATTCCTCACTGTAAAAAAAAAAAAAAAAAAAAAGTGTTGTCAGCCTTTTTTCTGTTGCTATAACAGAAAACCACAGACTGAGTAACTAATAAACAATAGAAGTATACTTGACTCACAGTTCTGGAGGCTGGGAAGTCCAACATCTGGCAAGGGCCAGCAAACACACATGAAACAGAGAGGAAAATTGGGCCAAACTCATCCTTGTTATCAGTAACCCTCCCAGGATAACAGTATTAATTCATTCATGATGGCAGAACCCTCATGACTTAATCACCTCTTAAAGATGCTATCTTTTAACACTTGTAACACTAAGATAGCACTTAAAGATGCTATCTCTTAACATTGTAACATTGTTACAATGGAAATTAAATTTCAACTTGATTTTTGGAAGGAACAGTCAACCATAGCTGTGACCTTATGAGGTTGTTAATTTATGTTCAACCAATCCCAGGATTAGACTTTGGATTTGGCCTTCAGAAATCTCAGCCCTATGGCTATAGGAGATGAGCTTTTTTTTTTTTTTCCCCCAAATCCTTTCTGAAGACCTTAAGCTGGGAATTTAAAGTCCTGTACTTCTCTAATTTCTTCAGCAAGCAACCAATCAATCCTCCTATACTTAGTTTAACAAAGACGTTCTAAGATAGCAAATATTTGTTCTTCCAGAGTCTTGACTTGTATAAGTGCTTGATTGAAGATGATAATTTAACTTTTGCAGCTTCATGGGATGGACTACAAGTATTCCTCTTTATCACTGGGAAGGTTATTGGTGCCTTTAAATCTAATCAGACTAGGGACCTAATGCCAGAAAACCCAGGACAAACACTCATTCTTAAGACTTGTTCTGGAATGACTTTCAGTACCAAATTCTGTACCAGTCAGGGTTCAACCAGTCAGGGTTCAACCAGGGTAGAACCAGTAAGAAATATACAGTCATGTGCTGCATAACTACATTCTGGTCAATGACAGACTGCCTGTATGATGGTGGTCCCATAAGATTATCTTGCCTAGTGACATAGTAGCTGTCTTAGGTTTGTTATGTTCTATGGTGTTCACACCATGATGAAACTGCCTAGTGATGCATTTCTCAGAACATATCCCTGTCATTAAGTGACACACGACTTTGTGTATACATACTGATTCTATGTGTGTGTGTGCACAAGTGGGAGTTAATTAAGCTGTCTCTATAAGGCTATGGTCTCCATATCTGATGCTAGAGCTTGAAGTTCAGAGAGCAGGTAATCAGGAAGATAACAGGCTGAAACCCACACACATAAGCTGTGCACCCCACAAAAAGGTACTGAAGCTTTCCATTTTTATTGCCTCTGACCTTGGTGATGGGGAGTCCTGTAGAATCCAGAGCTCTACATCAAGAAGTTAAACACATTCACAGCTCAGAAATCAAAGAAGCTAACAGAGGATTTAGGGAATAAAGAACAATTGCAGGCCTAACTGCAACTTTATGCCAATAAGATGTCAGTAGATCAGTAACAGCATGTGTAAAGTACAAAATGGCTACTACTTCCAATCTCTCAAGAATTTTCCTTGTGGCCCGCCCTAACCAGAAACATCTAAGCAAGGGAATTCTGAGAAAGGAAGTTCAAGGTAACCAAATTGACCCATTACAAAGCCATTACATTCTTCAATGCTTAAATGTCTCTTCAGACCCTTTTATTGAGTTAGCTTTACTAAATTATGTTTTTCCTGTGGAAATAGTCCATTCACTTGGTTTAAAAAAATTATTGGCATCACAGAGAACCTCATAAATATTAATAATTTTTGTTTTTATATAAGTTAAGAAATTTTAATTTAAAAAATTTTTAATTAAAAATTAAAAAATTATTGGCATAAAGTTATCCACAGAATTCTTATGAAATTCCTTTTAGCATTTTATGATAGATCTACAGTTTTATTCCTTTTTCACTCATTCATTAATATGAATATCTTTATATTGTTTTTTTTGTTTCTTTTAATTTTTAATTTTTTTGTTTAGTTATACATGACAGTAGAATGAATTTATGCATTTTAATATATCATACATAGATGGGATATAATTTCTTCTTTATCTGAGTGTACATATTGTAGAATCACATTGGTCATGCAGTCATAAAGTAATAATGTCTTTTGTTCTACTATCCTTTCTATCTCCACATTCCCTCCCCTCCTATGTTGGGTTTTAATTTAATTGCATTATGATTAGAGAAGGTAATATCTTTGTTATTGATTGGTATTTAAGTTTTGTACTCAATTTTTATATATGTTCCATATGGGCTTGAAAATAATGTATATTCTCTAAAATTGATTGCAGAGTTGTATGTGTGCACATATAGACATCTATATAAACACTATACACACACACACACAAGACCACAGGCCATCAGGTGGGTTAACTGAGTTGTCCAATCATCTATAAACTAATTTTTATTTACATGATCAATTACTGACAAAGATATTTTAAAATCACCCTCTACCAACTTAACCTGGTAAGTATATAAATTTTTGTATAACTTTTAAACCTTTATTATTAGATGCATATGCATTTATAAATATTATATCTTCCTGGTGAATTATTCCTCTTAGCATTCAGTAATGATGTTTTTTTTTATCCCCAATGACATTTTTTGCCTTAAAGTCTAACCTGCCTGATATTAATATTGCTATAGTTTCAATTATGCTCATTTTTTTTTCCTTTTTCCCCCTTTAGGAGTTTCTTTTACTTTCCTGTAAGCTCAGTTGTCTAGTAAAAGAAAAAAAATTTTTTTGTTAAATTTTATCCATTATTTCTGGTGTGTGGAGCAGACAGGATTACAGGATCTGGCATGTTTCTAGATCTTGAAGTTCTAAAACTTTTTTAAAAAGCGAAACATATACTTACCTTTAAATAAAAATCTCATTTCGTTCGACTCAAGATCAGAATAGCAGAATAAATTGCACAGTATATGCATAACCAAGGCCCCATCTTATCAATGAAGGTATCAGACCATATTAATTATAGGGATCAATGTAAATGTATTCACTTAGTACTACCATCAGACATGAAAAAAGTTTTTCTCCCACAGTCTTCCCCAACAATATAATGTGGTCCCCCTCCCTGAAGAGTGGTTCCCCCACAATTAAGGATCACTGGTTTATGGAATCTCCAAAAAAGATTACAATTTAAGGATGGAAATAGTTTATTCCATTAGTAGCTTGGTATTCCTCCTCCCATCCCTCAGTCACAGTTGTTGAACTTAATAGTTCTCTCTGGTGCTCTGTGGGTTCCTTTCAGGATGTTTCCAAACTGCTCTGGTCTCCCAATTAGGTGGCATCCAAGAGACCAACACTAGGCTCAAACCCAGCTTCTCAATGGCAATGGGTGAGTTCCAACATTAGAGGCAAATCTTATCAGCTGACATTTAACCTAGTCTACCAATTATAGTTTGCTAAGGGCTTCCGACACCCATACTGTGTCAATGTTTATGATGGGAATTGGGATCTATTATTCTCGATTAGTGACTATGAATTTCGGAGGTCCTGGAAAGATTGTGATTTGAGTTCAGCTGTTTACAAGGAGCCTGAGGGAAGCTTTCATTTATAGTTAGCAAACTTGGCATTTGATGTGTTCAACTTCTCATATTTATGCACTACATGGAAAGCCTTTAAAAACTCATTAAAGTCAATGCTTCCATCTTTGTTTAAGTCCATTATATTGGCAAGCTCATCAACTTGGGAATCATCAATATCAACGCTGTAGTGAGTCCTGAAAAGTTTCCACATGGCCCGAAATTCTTCCATGGAGATCAGGCCTAAAAGAACATAGGAGAGAGTGGTGAGTGTTCATTTCAAGACCTACCTCAGGGAAGGATGAGGAAGCCACACTGATTGAAATAGCTCCAATTAGAAGCTCACTAATATACCTGACTATGAAGACACTGACGGAAATGGAGCTAAGGTCATAAATGTAAGCAGCAATATGTCACATGTCACTTTCAACTACCAAGTCATTCTGAGATTATTCTAAATCCAGAATGAGTAAACAGTGAAGAAATGTTAAGGGGATACGAACTGTGGGACTAGATGTAGTAAAGAAACTGCAAGAACTAAAATCTAAGGGTGAGGGACATGGAAGGACAACAGAGCAGAGAACGAAATCAAAGCAGAGGGAAAAGGTACCTTGAGAATCAATGATAAGATTGCAAAGAATGATGTTGCCTTTTATTTACATACATATATATATATATATTTATTTATTTTTTAGTTTTCAGTGGACCTTTATTTTATTTATTTACATGTGGTGCTGAGAATCAAACCCAGTGCCTCACACATGCTAGGCAAGTGCTCTCCCACTGAGCCACCACCCCAGCCCCATGGTGTTGCCTTGTTAATAGGCAATAATTTGCTTACATGGGTTAATTGTTGTTTTTTTGGTGTTCAAAGGTCTCTGCAATAGGGGAATAGCTGATTTTTTTTTTCCCTTGTGATGCTGGGGATCAAATCCAGGGCCTTGCACATGCTAGGTAAGCACTTTATCACTGAGCTAATTCCCAGCCCTAATATATATATATTTTAAGTTTGAAAAGAAGTTAATTGTTCATCAAAGATAAATAGAAAATGAGTTTTTATAGCTCTCAGTCTCCCAAACAGAGCCAGAACTCTAGGAATGATTTTTATTTCAGGAATGACTAAAATATTAAAATGGAAAGTAAATTATTCTTCCATCTATGCTGGTGATTTAGAAAAGGAGCTATTCCAGTTCACCAATGGCTATTGGGCTTGTATAGAATTCTGTGGTCTAAAATACAGAATTTTGGGCCAAACTAAAATAACAACAACATTAAATGTGAATTTGATTCCTTCAAATTTCATCAACTTTGTATGAAGAATGAAATAGATGAAAACAGTTCTAATTTCGGAGAAGCACGCCAGTCTTTTCTTTCTACTACTACTGAACTAATCAAAGTTCATTTACCTGAGTGATCAGAGTCAATGACATTAAATATGATTTGCAGATCAGATCGGTATCTGTACAGAGTTTCAATTAGAGTAGACTGGACCTAAAACAAAGATTTTCTAAGTGTTAAAACAAAGAAATAATGACATAGATTAATTTTAGCAAATGTAACAAACACAAGACATCATCACTAATTCAAATTATATGATTTAAATAGAAATTTGAGAAGGCAAGCCTTCTGTTGGCCCAACCATGCTTTTTATTTTATTTTATTTTTTTGGTACTGAGGATTGAATCCAGGGGTGCTTTACCACTGAGCTAAGTCCCCAGTCCTTTATTTATTTTTTATTTTGAGGCTGGGTTCAAACTTGTGTTCCTCCTACCTCGGCCTCCCAAGTCACTGGGATTACAGGTCTGTGCCACTGTGCCCAGGTTGGCCCAACCATCTTTAATCAGATAAAATATCTTGCTCTATCTGATTCAAATGTATGATATGTCAAGGTCATTGTACTGTCATGTATAACTAATTAAAACAAAACAAAACAAAAAAAGATCTTGCTCTGGTGTTCCTTAGGGGACCAAAGTAAAAAGATAGCAATAAATAACAATTGCCAACACATACAGAAAGCTTTATGTGTATCATTTCATTCAGTACTTGACAACCATAAGGAATAGGAACAGACCATTATTATGTCCATTTTACAGATTAGAAAACAAAGTAACTTTCCCAAAGGTTACGTCACATAGCTATGAATCTGACTCAGCTCTCTGAAACCAAGATCTATGATCTTAATCACCATGGTAAACTGCTTCTGAAGTCAGGCCAAAAGCCTCCTTTGTATGGATATTTTAGCTTTCAACCTGTACTTTTACTTCCCTTTTCTGTTTTTCTCATCTTCCCTGCAAACAATAAACCAAGTCCTAACTCCAATCAGCTCAATGTTATAACTAATTACTGATGAAATGTTAACTAATAAGAGCTGCAATCTGATAACTCCCTGGGCTCTTCCCTTTTTATTAAAAGATTTTATGCTTTAAAATTCTTTAAGACATATTCTAGTTCATGTCAGCAAGTCTATACATGGTTTGGAATACATTAACTATTGTTAAGCGGTATGCTGCATGAAAGAATGAATGTCATATCTGCCATTCTGCTGGCCAGTAATTAAACAAGAATCACATATTTGACATGAGTTTTCATGCCAAAGCTTTTTCCTTTTTCTTTTTGTCTATCTTTAGAAGGTATAAATTTTCTGAACAGACCACAAAGTACCTTTGGCCTTTTCTGAAACTGCCACTCCCATCCATTAGATGATTCCATTCCTAACTTTTCAAAGGATTGAGTTACTTAGAGGTTGTCCCAAGGGTATTTCCCCCAGCCAGGTTTTAGTTGGGGCTATGTGTCACTTGCCTCTTTCACAGGTTTTTCAATGTGGACATCCTGGAAGCTGGACATGTAGTCAACATTTCCATTTGTGTCTATGTTTACCAGACGCAAACTCAGAGATCTCCATGGTAAGTTCAGCCCCAAAATGCTCTCCATAGAAAAAGCCCATTGGGCTATTGAAATTTTTCCTAACAACAACAACAACAAAAACAAACAAACAAAAAAGCACCCATATAATTTGTTATAATTTGACAAAAAATACGTATGTCCCTTGGCAAAACCAGTAACAGCATGGGGTTTTGAGGCCTGAGGGCCTGCTGGTTTCCTTCATGATCTGTCCTACTCTGGTCCTAGAGCTCTGAGGAAGAAAAAACTAAGGATAGTCTTTCATATTCCACAGATCTTGCCTGTACTCTTGTGTGTAAGAAATCATACTTAGGGTATTAGATTATTTTTGCCTTTTTCTGATTAATGAATTAAGGTATACCTATTTATTATAGAAGATTTAAAAATATACAAAGGATAAAAAATTTAGTTTGATTTTTAATATTTCAGTATATTACTCATCTATCTTCCCAATATCTTTTCCCAAAAATATTAAATGTAATTTTTCAAAATATAAGTATCTTTATTGTTCTGATTATTAAAAATTATTCATTTTAAATGATTTTGAATAAATATAAAACAATGTTATAACTTCTAGTTTTTTTCTATGTATATAAATGTGTATACATAAATGTATATATAGTTTATTTTTCTTAAAATCAAATATTATTGTACTCTAGCATTACCACCACCCCCCACCCAGGGTTAAGGACCAAACTTAACTAGGCAAGCACTCTACCACTAGCTAAATCCCAAGTCCCCATGTACATATGTTTTATATACATGTATTGCATATGGTATAACACACGTACACACAAACATTTAGTCTAACCTATTTTTTATTTTACTTACATCATGGACTTCCATCTATGTTAATAAACATACATTACATTGCACTTTAATGGCTATGAAACTATTCCATTATTTCCTTAGGACCATTCCTAGAAGTGGAACTGAATGATCAAATGGTATGCAGATTTTTAAGGCTTTTGATAAATGTGGTCATCCCTTGGTATCCATGGGGGATTGATTCTAAAACTCCCTTACGGATACAAAATTCCACAGATGCTCAACTCCCTTATATAAATGATGAAGTGTTTGCATATAACCTACATATAGCCTCCCATATACTTTAAGTCATCTCTAGATTATTTATAATACCTAACACAATATAAATAGTAAACAGATTGATTTTTTAATATTTCAAAAATATTTTTCCCAATATTTTGTCTTTTTTCTTTTTAAAATTAATTTATTTTAATTAGGTATATATGACCTCAGAATGCATTTTGATTCATTGTACACAACTGCAGCACAACTTTACACTTCTATGGTTGTACACAATGTAGGGTCACACCATATGTGCACTCATACATGTATCTAGGGTAATGATGTCCATCTCATTCTACCATCTTTCCTGCCCCCATGCACCCTCCCTCCTCTCCCTTCCCTTTGCCCAATGAAAGTTCCTCCATTTTTCACATTCCCCGCCCCCAAACTCCCTTCCAACCCCACCCTACCCCTGTTATGGACCAGTATCCACTTATCAGAGAGAACATTTGGCCTTTGTTTTTGTTTGGAGGGAGGGGGGATTGGCTTACTTCGCTTAGCATGATATTCTCCAACTCCATCCATTTACCTGCAAATGCCATAATTTTATTCTCTTTTACTGATGAGTAATACCCCATTGTGTATATATACACCATAGTTTCTTTATCCATTCATCTATTGAAGGGCATCTAAGTTGCTTC